ACCAAGATGCCTAAATGCATGGCAAATGCCTTCTTTTATAGTCAAAATTGAAAACTATTGATTTGATAACTAATTGTTGAGTGGGTTGCGAACTTTGGACTTGGTGACAATCCTTATCTTATTTTATGACAAAAATATCATTGATAACGTCAGAATTTGCATCAGCCTTACTCATGAAAATTCTAGGAAATTGTCTCATCTTTCCAGGAAAAAAATTGAGGTCATTTGAGCTTCTAAAACTCGAGATATGGGCTAAATACTAAATAGTATCTAGGCTATAGAACAGATTCAGACGTATGGGCTAAATACTAAATAGTATCTAGGCGATAGAACAGATTCAGACTTCTACATTGTTACTAAGATTTGTACTTCCAAACAGCAGAATTGAGTCTTGCCTTCCGCATGAAAGTTTTAGGCATATGTCTTAGCTTTCCATCCATATAAAGCAGATCTAAATTTGAATCTATAGCTCCAAATATAACTCAATTACTGAACAGTGTTCCAGTTTAGACTACACCAACATCTTTTTTTTAAGCTTCACCATTTCTTTATACTTTTAATTTTAGTACTTCAACTCATTAATCAATCCTTTTATTTATGTGATAGGCCTGCATTTAGGATGAATATTTACCATAAATTAAAGGTATTTTATGGTATCGGACTTGTCATAATAAAATATAATTTAGTTAAGGAGTTATTAATACTTCAAGTGCAAAATGATGATATAAAACCTTAATAAAAATGCACTTTTAAATACTAATCAACAAGCATCTATATATTAGTTCTAGGTATCCCATATACATCAGCTTATGAGAACAACTTCTTTCTTTCATAAATGAAATAATATAACATGTATCAATCTCTACGGTTGTAACAAATGTTCAGTATTTAAGAGAGTATTGACCAATAATATTTTAGAAATAATACTTTGATGTAATAAGAATTTCATAATTATAACAATTTTACAATTTTCTTTGCAAAATATTTTTATCTCATGGATTTTATCTTTACTCTAGATTCATAAATCAAGCATTCGATTCATTAATCTAATGTTATATGAATATTAGAGAGAAATTACATATTTAGTAATAATAAATATGTATTTACATAAAGAAACTTATTGGCCAAATGGATATTGTTGTTGCTCCTTGGAATCCTAAACAAATAAAAAAAATTAATTCTTTTTTAGCCTCCCATGTTTAAAACCAATAAAACACATATAATCAAATAAGATTTATAGATGCTAAAACTAAGTATCCTGTAAAATAGATGAATTAGACCCTTCTTGTATATAGATTGGATTGATTAAGATCTTATCATTACCTATTAAAGATATAGTTTTTCTGAAATTTATATTGATTTAAATGCTCTAAATAAACTCATTAAATATATCTTTGAGTTTCTTTACCTTTAATCTAGTAATTGACCATATGAAATTTCTAATGATTTATTTGATGTTTCTTTACTCTTAATCTAGTAATTGACTTACTTGAAATTTCTAATGATTTATTTGATGGAATTTGAATAGGACGGACTACCCAGCTGTAGAAACCATCATTAACCAAATGTCCAAGGAATCATTAGTGATTGAAAAAATAGAACTCTTCCTCTAAGCATATGATAATTGGCTGTAAATATTTGGACTATTGGATTGAGTGTTTCCACTCCTAGCAATAGACTCATTTCAATTAAAATGTTGATTTTGTAGTACAAAATGAAGAGTTTGATTAAATAACGTGAAAAAATTATTTCTTTTAGTTTTTGGTAAAATTATAATATTAGTTTAATGAAAAGTGTAATTAAAAAACGAAAAAGACACCAACTAGTAACCCTTAAAAAGCCACCACGTGACAACTAGTGCATGAAATTTTTTTCCTTGATTTCAAGCGGTGCGTGGCTGTCACACACCTTTTCCTCGTTTGCTCTCGAATATTCTTTTTTTTTTTCCCCCTCTTTTTTTCCTTTGGAGGAATAGTTGGCAAAGCAAAAACCCTAAGAACTCTCTCCCTGCTTTCTATAAATCAGATCCCACAAGCTCCCCCCCTCCCTCGTCCTCTTCTACTAGCAGAACCAGAAGAAATGGCGTCGTTCGCAGAAGCACCACCTGGCGATTCTAAAGCCGGAGAGAAGATATTTAAGACTAAGTGTGCTCAGTGTCATACCGTCGACAAAGGTGCCGGTCACAAGCAAGGTAATTTTATCACCCCCTTATCCCTCTCTGTCTCTCTTTCTTTTTATTACAGTTAATTTAGTTGTGTATTGTTTAGAAGATCTGATCATTTTGAGGTTGAGTTTGCTTTGATTCTTTGTTGTTGTTGTTGTTATGTTTTTAGGTCGAATAGTTTATAGATCTAATCTGTTTAGGTGGTCGATTCTTTTAAGATTTCTTCTTTTTTGGTTGTTTGATTTTGTTCCTGTATTTCTTCTGGAGTTCTTTGGACAGAACTGTGGAGTTTTTTCTCCATTCTTGATGGGTTTAAGGTTTTTGCAAGAAAAATTGTGATTTTCTTTTAGAACTGGAAGCCGGGTTTGGAAATGGATTTCATTAGGCAAATAGACATTTATTATGGGTTTAAGGTTTTGGTAAGAAAACTGTGATTTTTGCGATGGGTTTAAGGTTTTGGTAAGAAAACTGTGATTTTTGCGAGAGGTGGAAGCTGGGTTCAGTAAGCAAAGAGAGAATATTTATGGGTTTAATCTGTTTTCTTAATCGAGTGGACTGGATGGAATTTACATTTTAGATTAGGATGATTAGTGGGATTTGGGATCTGTTATTTTATTGAGTGAAGATATTAGATAATTAATTGCTTTTCAGATTGTGTGAAAAAAAATTTCTTATTTTAATTTGCTTTGGTTTTTGGAATTTTTCAGGACCCAATCTGAATGGCCTCTTTGGAAGGCAGTCAGGAACAACTACTGGGTACTCATACTCTGCTGCTAACAAGAACATGGCTGTTATATGGGAGGAGAAGACTTTGTATGATTACTTACTCAACCCCAAGAAGGTACTAATCAACTGTAGAGCATATGACATGATATTTTTGTTGCATTTGCAGTGCATCCTCTACTGGTGAAGTATGTATCGTTTATGTATTGATGTTTGTGATATTTCCATCATGATAGTTGAGCTTAGTCACTTTCTATTAAGTTTCTGGCAACTTCAGGTTCCCAAAGAGTAACATACAGGACATTATGTGAGGTCTAGTAATTAGGAAGGACATGCAATACATGGAGCAAGTAGAAAATAATGTTCAGGCTTTACTGTGAAAGTGAGGTCTGACAGTCAAGGAAAGCAACTCCATCATCGATGATATTAATTCTAACAAGGTTCAAAATTTAAATGTTTGGTGTGAAACGAATTTTCACATTTCATTTCAATGTGATAAGATAGCCTTTTTGGTATGAATCATCTCACTTTCTGAGATACTGTGGAAGAACTCATGTATATACACTTGCATCTGTGCCTGTTATACTTGTTTTTTTTTTTTTTTTAATCGTCACTGCTGACCCAAATGACATTTGTTTATGCAGTACATCCCTGGAACAAAGATGGTTTTCCCTGGATTGAAGAAGCCACAGGACCGTGCTGATCTCATTGCATACTTGAAGCAGTCCACTGCCTCTTAATCATTTCACACTTTTGGTCTCCCCAATTTCCAGTTATTGGAGATTGTTTCTCACAGAGCAGATATTTTTTACCAATAAAACAGACTGATATACAATGAACATTGCTAGTCATTGCTTTTCAGAACAGTTGCCATAATTGGCAAGCTTAACATTCAATTCATTTAGCTTATCTATTTTGCAAATGTTTGGTGGATTACCAATAAACAGTTTGCTAATGATAATTTTTGGTATGATATTTTGTGATATCAATATTTGCATGAACAGTTCCATAGTTGCTATTGCTTGTCTTGAGCCTACTCCGATGCATGGCAGATTCATGGTAACTTCCTTTTTAATAAAATGCAACATGATGGTGTATTGCAACCTGTAGCAGGCAAATGAGCATTTCAATTTTTGAGTTGGATAAAAGCATTTGAAAAAATAATGGCCGCTTCCACCTTCCCTACTGAATTGCCTGTTCCTGATTAACTTGGCTTGTGGTGGGAGTTCATTAGTGATTTATATAGCTACTAATACTGTAGCGTGCTTTGAGCAAATGCAGCTCTGCTATTATGCTTGATATTGTCATTGACAATTGGGATGCAAAATGTGATCAAGTGGGCTCGTATTAGCGACTTTTTCCAGGAAATGCTATGATTGTCATTTTACTAAGTGAACTGGAATTGATCTCTGCTTCATCCGTGATGGCAAGGAGTAATCGGAGTAAGTTATCCTCTTGTATGCGTCCAATCCGTTGGCCTATATTTTGAACTTAAGAGGATGGAAATGATGGTAACAGTGGGCAATTATCAAGATAAAAGAAAAATTGGCAAGTTTTTCATGGTGTACAAGTAAAACTACAATCGTAAGACGATTACGATTCCAAAAAATGCATCTAAATGATGGTTTCTCTTCCCTTTTGTCAAGCAATAGTGTTCTTCGGGTTAAAAAACGACCGAGAATGGATGGGGAATTGAGCCATGATTTCTTCGTCTGCTAGCATTAGCCAGGCGCTCTTACTCTCATGGTGGCCTCTACGGCAATTATGGCTGGTTTTTTGTGTGCCTTGGAGCAGGTAGTATTGCAAGATTCTCCTTCCTATATTGGCAGTGGTTCTTCGTTGCCATATGGGCTAGCTGATAGTTTTGGGCAAATAGAGAATGATTTCACAGAAGTTCCCTTTTTCATGTAACTTTATTCCAGATTATGGGACAACATTATGAGATGGTCAACAAAATGGAAAGGTGATTATTCAGATGGTTGATAAGAACTGCAGGTTATGGAAAGGCTTGTACAACGATTTCAGTTTATCCCACAGCCTCGCTCTTTTGATCATCTGGCTCATTGCTGATCTTAAGTCATATATATATATATGAATCAGAACAAGGTGCTGTGGGAGGGAAAGCGTCTCACTTCCAATTTGCTACCGGTTGGTCTTGAGGAATGTGATGGTGTCAACTATCACTGCCAAATTGCTTTTGGACGTCATCGAATGATATGGTAGCAGAACCCCTCCTTTTGGCCTTCGGCTGAGATGGGTGCTCCCTCCACCCAGTCATGAATATAACCTACAAGTCCCAAAGCAGTGATCGAATAATTATGAAAAACATCATACCTCAATCAATTGGCAACAGGCTTTGGGTTTAAATGAGTAAAAAATGAGATCCCTCTCAATAATTAGCCAAAGGCTCGAAAATTCACATGGAGATTTTCTTTTTGCGGGATGGGAGGCAGTGAGCCTATGATTTTATGCAATTCCTTCTTCGAGCATAGAGGTTCACAAAAAAGACTTGTTTATTTGAATATCTTGCTAATATATTATAGAAAAAAGAATTCGAACTCTGGTCTGAACTAATTAGCATTGCATGAAGCATTTTTCATTGTAGTTTTCTTAGCAGCGTAAGATAGCAGAAACAAGGCTTATTGTTTCTTAGCAACATGGATATATTCTTTCTCCAATCACATAAACATTCTCAGGTGTTCCACAATCTCACCTGGAATGTTGCGGGAATGGTGCCATCTTCTGCAGCAAACATTGAATCATAAATTGCTGCAGTAGCAAGGGCTGTTTCTCTCTTTAGAAGCTGGTTTCATTCACAAACAAAAAGAATTTCCAATTAGATTTGATGATTGAACTAAATTTTACCATACACAAGGAAAACTTCAATTGTTACAGGTCTTACATTGTTCCTTTGCAAAAGAGCATTAGTTTCGCCCATTGCGCGCAAATGCTCTATCAGCTCCAGAGCTATACCACAGTTAACAAGAATGAATAAGCCCTTTATAACAATGACTAGAGGTAGAGAATTTATTCAAATGAAAAACCATTGTATTAAAACTAAAATTAATAATCCATGCAGTTAAACAAGAGGCATGTTAGTTCTGGCATAAATCATCAAGCATGCTTGACTAGTAAAACTACAAGCTAATATGTTGAGAGATTTTCTCACCATTGCCATACCTAACTACATATTCATCAACATCAACTCCAGGAAGGGTGAAGCCTGCCCTGGTCAAAAGATTCCCTGCATCACGGACCTGAATGGTACAAAAATTAAGTTGGCTCAGTGATACCATTTAGGGGTAGATGTTTCCCTCTCAAGTACTCCTTATAAGTACATCAGAACCAGATATTTCAAATCAGGTTGAATGCCAATATTTGTATGCAATACAGCCATGGGTTTACTTCAAGTTTTTTATGGATATATGTGTCAAAGAACTAATTCAACTTAAAAGCTTAAGTTGCTAGATGAGGTTCCAAGATATGATTTATATTATTTTCTAACACACCTTTTCAAGTAAAAGCTCTTTAAACTTAAAACTTGCACCAACTTACATTAACTTGTGCTTAATTTTTATCAAATAAATAAGGATAGAGATATTCAAACTCATGATCGCTTGATTATCAAAGCTCTATATCATGTCAAAAAACTAATTCAACCTAAAAGCTTAAGTTATCATGTGAGGTTTCATGATATAATTTATGCTATTTTCTAATAATATGTACCCTCATCTCAAAAAGTTCACGAATGGTAATTACCAAGTGACAGCATACATACTTGTGCCAGAGGTGATATGCGAGGACTAATGCCTCCTTCACGCTCCATTTGAGCTACAGTGCATGCTATTCTCAGCTCCCTACATACATGCCAGCAAGCAGAAAAATCAGTAAGCAAACTTATGGGTTAACATACTGTTCAATTAAAATCAAAATATAAAAAAGAAGAGACAACTTCAAGGTTTCTCCACCCAAAATAGCTGCTAAAAATAGGCCATCCGGCTTCAATGCTAGTTTACACTGTCATGAAAACCAATGAAATGGACAAGTGTCATAGACAATACCACATCAGGATTTCAAACAAAATGATTAGAGAGATTTCATGATGATAACAACCAAAAACAGCTATAAAGAGGAGCAATAAGGTTTCACGTCTACTGCTCTGTGTGTGGTTGTTGTAGACATCCAGTGTACTTTCATTAACAGTGTCAAATTATTTGCTGATGGAAGTACAGCTTTGGTCTCATTTTACAGTCTTAAATCTTAATTTATCAAAAGAGTACTCTCTCATGCTTCAGAATAAAAAAAAAATGTTTTTGGAGTTATAATTAAATTGAAGATAACTTTCAGAATAACGCATAGAAAAGCACTTCTATATCTTGCTGTCTGCATGGCAAACACGTATGCTTCATCCGTGTAGTTTTTTCTCCTGGGGTTAATAATTCTAATGGTTTCCATCCCCTAATGTCGCATGCATTTACAAATTCTGGAGGATATCTTGCTATCCGCATGGCAAACATGTATGCTTCATCTGTGTAGTTTTTTCTCCTGGGGTTAATAATTCTAATGGTTTCCATCCTCTAATGTCGCATGCATTTACAAATTCTGGAGGATATCATGTATGAGAAAGATGCTAAAAGCTAAAAGAAAATCATAATAAAGAAGTGCATACCTGTATCATGGCTCCTGGAAGATCATTTGTCCAATGGAGTCCCAAGGAACTGATAACCAAATCTACCGAACTTCATAGTGAAATCCAAAACATAACATTTAAAACCAGTTCTTCCTGATGACTAGTTTTCACAAGAATCAAATAGATGACATTCACTCACAGACCTTTCTTTTATAGGTAGAAACTCCTCATCTCCCACCACAAAGGAGGTTTCAATATTCTGATTTGAATCTTGTTGAGCAGCTTCAGCATCCTTACATAATTTAACCATGTCATTTGAAGTGTCCATCATGATAAGCTTTTCAATGGAGCCTGGCATTTAAAGTGGCTACAAGATTAAAGTTTAATATTTATGATATAATTTACAAGATCATGCCTAGTGAAGGAAAATGACAAGAGAAAGCATAACAGCTTTTCCTATGTGTATGCTCATTTTCAAATACCACTTTGTGGCATCAAAAACGTGTTTCAAGTATTGTCTTATCAACTGCCAAAATCTCTGATAAATAATGTCACATGATTAGAATTCCATTCAACCGAATCCCTCCCTCTTTTGAACCTCTTAATTCATGATCACTCAACCTTACAGTTAGTGCTGAACACCCATGTCTCAAAACTGTTAAAATACAACCTGAAAATTTTTCAAATTATCTTCTATAGTTATTGAAACACATAAATAGCAGGAAAAGTCTTAAAATCGATTCTCACCACGACCACGTAACAAACGTCTGACAGCTTCCGAAGAACCTCCTAAACACAACGCGGTAGGAAATGTTTTCTTGCAATCCTGCAAAACACAAACACACAACAAACGGAATCAACAATCTCGAACTAAGCAAAACTCATCAGACTTCAACATTTAAACCTCTCAAACTCATCACGACTAGAAAATGCAACTTCACAAAAATTATAACCTCTCATTTCTTAATACTCCAGCATTCTAAACATACTTCAAAACACAGTAGACAAGAAGGTAACTAGTCACTACCTCCAAGCGATCCAACAAATTGTCAGCAACAGCATCCACAAAAGGATCACTTGGCCTCATCAACCACGCAGCTCGGTCACGCTGCAGCCACCCCACAATTGGACCAATACCCAGAAGCAGATATACAATATCGAATTTGAAAAAAAAAAAAAAAACACAAAAAAATAGATACCAATGTTCAAATCATAAATTTACAGAGAAAGACTAGATTTTTACCTGTTTTCGTTTGAGTTCCCGATCGAAAACTTTGACCCTTGGACTTTGTGGCCCATCGATGGTGTTATTGTCAATGTTTGTGCAATAACAAATTGAGGGGATGAGAGTGTAGGTCGCTTTTGTTGCTCTTCTTCCTCCTCCAAGGAGCAACTGTGAAGTCCTCTGACACAGGGACAGGGTGCCTCTCATTTTCATTGAAGTTTCCGAAGAGTTTGTGTTTGGACCCTAGAAGCCTTAAAAACCTCAACAAAAATCCGATTAATTTTTTTTTTTATTTTTACATTATTAGATATATTAATATTAAAAATAAATTTTAAAAAATAAAAATATTATTTTAATATATTTATAATAAAAAATAAATTTAAAAAATAATCTTGACCATTATCCTCAACTTCCCAATAAAATTTAGATGTAAATGATCTTGGTCAAATCTATTAAGTGTTAATTCCATATTTAACAAAAATATAAATTAATATTTTTGGTGTTTTTGGATTTTTTTTATATAATAATTTCAAAAAATATTTTAAAAAAATATTTTAATATATTTTAATATAAAAATTATTTTAAAAAATAATTATTACCATGATATCATATAATCTAACTTGGGCTTATTTTATTGGTTATCAATAATATATAAAACTAAAAGTTTAAATGAATTTGTTAAATGTTTCATTTGAATTCTCAAACTCTTAATATATTGATGTTGCCACGAGAGTATATTTAAGTTTTTAATCACTGAAATAATAAATCGATAAAATTAAAGGTAAATAGAATACAAATTAAATGTGAAGATTTTCAAGGAAATTAGAAATGTATTCTAAAACCAGCACGCATGACATATGTTGAATATTCACACATATGAAATGTTCATTGATCGAGACTGACATAAGCTCATTTAGTAAAATAATTTTTATAAAATTTAAAATAGAAAAAATAAAGACTAATAAAAAAAATAAGGTGGATGTTTCTAAAGAAATTACTAAATAATAAATATTAAAAAAAGTTTTGCCATAAACTCAATGTATAAATGCACTAAATATACTAACATCGGCTATGACTTGCGTGAAATAACAATCCTGTTATGTTTGAATTTTAAAAAAAAATTCCTAATTTTCATGAAACGTATGCATAAGCTTATTGTGAAATATTTTTTATAATATTGAGGATAAGAAAAGAATAAAAAGTAACAAAGAAAATATGTTTAAATTTTAAAAAAATCCTAATTTTCATATAATTAAAGATAAAAGGAATAAAAATAAGAGTGGACATTTCCAAGGAATATGCTCGAGAACAGTGTGCACGACATCCGCCAGATGATATAGCCTCATGAAACGTCTGCATAAGCTTATTGTGAAATATTTTTTATAACATTGAGGATAAGAAAAGAATAAAAAGTAACAAAGAAAATATGTTTAAATTTTAAAAAAATCCTAATTTTCATATAATTAAAGATAAAAGGAATAAAAATAAGAGTGGACATTTCCAAGGAATATGCTCGAGAACAGTGTGCACGACATCCGCCAGATGATATAGCCTCATGAAACGTCTGCATAAGCTTATTGTGTGAGATAATTTTTCTAACATTAAGGATAGAAAAGAATAAAAAGTAAAAAAGAAAATAAGGTGTGTGATTCCAAAGAAATCACTAAATAATCAACGCTAAAGGAGGCCATGCCATGAACTCATTGTGTAGATACACAAAACACACTAACATTGATTATGACTTGCATATAATAGCAATCCCCTTGTATTTGAATTTTTTTATTAAATCCTAATTTTCATATAATTGAAGATAAAAAGAATAAAAATATGGACATTTCCAAGAAACTTAAGGAACATATTAAAGACCAGTGCACCTAACATATGCTAGATAATCTATGCTCATGAAACATCCATTGGTTGAGACTGACATGAGCTCATCATGTGAAATAATTTTTTTAAATTTAAGATAGAAAAAATTTAAGAAAGTAGGGTGTATGTTTGCAAATAAATTACTAAACAATAAACATTAAAGGAGACCTTGCCATGAACTCATTGTGTAGATGCACTAAACACACTAACATCGATTATGACTTGCATGAAATAGTAATCCCCCTAAGTTTGATTTTTTTAAAATCCTAATTTTCATATAATTAAAGATAAAAGAAATAAAAATAAGAGTGGACATTTTCAAGGAACTCAGGGAATATATTTAAGACCAATATGCAATATATCCATTAGATGATCCAGGCTCATAAAATACCCACATAAGCTCATTGAGTAAAATAATTTTTCTAACATTAAGGATAGAAAAAAATAAAAACTAATAGAGAAAGTAAGTTGTATGTTTGCAAAAAAAAAAAATCACAAAACAATAAACACTAAAGTAGACTACCATGAACTAATTATATAGATGCACTAAACACACTAACATCGGTTACGACTTGCGTGTAATAAAAATTCCCCCATGTTTAAGTTTTTTTTATTAAGTCATAATTTTCATATAATTAAAGATAAAAAGAATAAAAATAAGATTGGACATTTTCAAATAACTCGAGGAACATATTCAAGACTAGCGCATAAGACATCAGCCAAATGATCCAAGCTAATGAAATGCCCGTATAAGCTCATTGTGTAAAATAATTTTTCTAACATTGAGGATAGAAAAGAATAAAAATTGACAGAGAAAGTCGAGTGTACGTTTCCTGACACGACTAAAAAATTGATGTATTCTCCCAAGTGCAGGAGTGTCGAAGTAATAAATAACCCAGCAAGACCAGGGTCGAACCACAGGGAGGTTAATTGTACAAATTATAAACAACAATTATAAATAACAATAATAATAATAACAATAACAACAACTACTATAATAATAATAATAATAATAATAATAATAATAATAATAATAATAATA